ACCGAAGCCAGAGCTGGAAGTTGAACTAGGGACTGGAGAGGCGAAGGTGACTGCAGACGCTGATTCTAGTGAAGCCGAAGTCGCGACTACATTTAACTCTCTAATTCGTTCGGCTGGTAAAATATTAGGAGAGAGCGGCCTGAGAGAGTCGTACATAGCACGGCGAAGCTCACGTTCTTCTTGCCAGGACAATCCCAGAAAGTCATCCGCCTATATCAAGTCAAGATACAAGAAAAAAACAAATAAATGTAAAAGACATAAAGTAATCAAGAGGAAAATGCTTAATACTATATGGAATAGTAAACGTTCAAATCTATTGAAACATAATGGTTGTATGAACTTCATCCCTTGGCTAAAAGCATTACTATGGCAGAGGACACAAGACTAGGTACGCTCCACAGGGTCTCACTGACGCTCCGACCATTTTGCAAAAACGTGGTCGCACAGCACTAAAAGCATTACAGTTTGAAGGCAGGATGAGAAGTTCTGACGAACATTTGCTTTGTACATGGGAGGATCAAGGTGTGGCCGCAGACAGATTTGCTTCGTCGAATCAGTTCAGGCTTTGAGGTGAAGGAGACTGGGCGTCAGATTACTCTCAAAAAGCAGAATTAGAGCTTGTTCAAATAGAAATATTTTGTCCAGTTTAATCAGCATCAAAATAGTTTATAGCATATAAAGCAAATAAAGCAGTGACTAAGATTGAAACTAGCACTAATCAGTTACCAATGGTAGCCAGAAGAGTAAAGCACTAATAGTATTAAAATAACCGAAATGTTAAATGAAAGCTAACCGGGGCCGTATGCCGCGTTATGGAACGTTTGGGCCTTGTAACACGACCGGTCAACTCCAGGGGCATCCGGAGTGTGTTAACTATAAATAGGCAATAAATATCCAGAGCAGGATTAACTTCGATAAATCTTGAAAAGATGCTCATAGATAAATTCAGCTAAGAGACCATATATGCAATGATTTATCGCATTACAAATGTGCCTCAGGTGTAGGCAAAGATGAAATATGGCAAAAGCATATTTGGCTCATAAAGGAGATGATTAACGATGCCTCTAGATAGAGCTTAACATAACCTTATTTTTATTTGCTTGAGAGTAACCATTTATTCAGCTTTTTCATTTTACCATATGTATCAAGCAGTTAAAATTCGAATAGTCTGATAATTATCATTCAGTCATTATAAGTTGCTAATTCTTATTATGGAAATAATATGCCACCAAAGCATGAGATTAGAAAAGAAAATGCTACCAAGCCTTACTGCAGCATA